TATATATATATATATATATATATATACACACATATATATATATTATACATTTTATTTATATTTTATATATATATTAAATACATTTGAGAACAAATGCACAAAATAAAAATGATGTAATATTTATACAGCAATAGCTTATTATTTATATATTTATTTATGACTACTTAAAGCAAATGGTAAATGCAAAACTATATAAAAAAAATGTTTTTAGTAGCAGTGTATTAACAGTTTGTATTAACACTGTCAAACTGACATGCAAGACGCAACAGAATAAATATAACATGTATTTTATTGATTCCAACAACCAGTGACAGGTGGATGAAAGCCTTCGGAAACATGCCTTATCCATGTATTGGACCCAACTCTGAAGAAATATCCCTTTTCTCTCCAGGATGATTTCTTTGTTTCCCCTCAATGATTGTTGCCGCATCCAGAATGCGGACCTATTTACAGTCTTTACAATGATGTCCTGTACAAAATAGAGAAATTAAGTTTTACAAAGGATTCTTTAGAAAAAAAGAGAAAAGAAATATCAAATATTTTGAGTATTAAAAAGGAAAACATTATCTGGAATGATTTTCCAAAACAATACATCATTGTTAATGTTTTTTTCTTTTTCTCATCACACAGCAAGTTTACATGCATTTACAACACATAGAAACCCTTAACATTTGCACGTCAGTGACATTAGATACCGCATAACATTTTTTCTTTAAATCTTAGTTTAGTCCACAACAAGCTTTGCTAAAATATGACTATTCAGCAACCTGTATTGGCCTAAAGAGATCCGATTCATCTCTTTATCTGCTTTGATTCTACATGCATAAACAGTGACGTGTGGATTCTTGCCTCTACTAGTTCAGGCTCATAATTCGATTTTGACACTTTTTTAACTGTTTATCGTCATTTACAAGTTCAGTTATGATACTTTTTTAGGACAAAACACCTGCAAAAGCTTTCAAACTGCTTAATTTCTTTAACTACATCAATAAACCCTGTTCTCAACACAACGCCGAACAAATCCTCCTCTCTTTAAGGCTCAGTACCACCTGCTAAAACAAGCTCCCATTTTTTGTCCATGTGGTGCAATTTGGTCCAAATTAAGAACTCAAAGACAGACCAGATGAAAACACACTGCGTTTGCTCGTGAGGATCAGGCATTTGCTGAGTGCCAACACCAGTAGAAGTTGCTGCATAGTCCTGATACACTAGTAAGCAAAACACAAATCACAGCTACTACAGAGTAACAGGCACAACAACCAGTGAATGAGATGAGAAGCTCGGGCTGATGGCTTTAGTTAACCTGCAGAAACAGACCAGGGTTGGTAGTCCAATACCTGAAATATTTACAATAACTGACATTATTCTCAATTGGCATGTGACCAGTGTGAGATTCACTGGCCATTTTGGCATCTTTTTTGCTCTTCGATGTCTTTAAATCTTTCTTTTCTTTTTTAGTAAACAGGTGACAAATCAGAGCTGCAGATTAGCTTGAAGTGTTGCTATCAGCCTTATGCAATAACAGTGCAATAACGAAGCAATAAGCAGCTCAGATACAATTTAAAATGTTAAACTTTCTTATGGAGCTGTCATAGAAAGTGGTATGACATTCATTTACAGGAGGTTATGTACATGTGAAGTGTAGTCGGAGCACCTAAACAATGACACAGTTTGGGATGGACAGGTGAATTATTTCAACAACACTTGCACAACCACTTTGTATGCCATGTGTGCCATTAGGGCTTCTTTACAAAAATCTACACAAAAAGTGTTTACATATTTTGCTTTTTAATCTTTCTTCGGAAAAAAACAACACCTCTCCACAATCGCTTGGTCCCTACCTTGTACCCAAAGTGTTCTCAACTATGAATACCGCACAGTGTTAGCATGGGCGCACACAACAAATGTCTCACATGACTACACGGTCTCTACGTAATGAATTCAACACTTCTTTGACGACACGTCCTAAAAAATATCAGAAATCATCATCCAGATCTATTTCACATTACTTTAGCTTTTGACAGTTCTACTGCATGACACAAAACTCTTTGCTAACCTACCCTGAAACCTACGCGATCTTTATTCAACACTAGAATAGTTCGGGACATTGTTAAAGAGCACCAAAAGTACCTAAATGATGATGATAAGCATGAGAATGAGATTTGTTTTGTTTTATTATTCTGTTCTTGAAGTATAAATGGGCATAGGTAGATTTAAAGTCACTCTACTCAGACTTTAAGTGTTTTGCAGTGGAGCTTTGTGATAAGGCTTCCTTTAAAAGCACCAAATAGGTGATTTGTACTGTTGAATGGTTGTTTTTCACAAGTGTTTTCTATACATTCATCGTTGAACTTAAACCACTAACATGACAGTCAATGTGCATGATTAAAGTACAGTATTTGGTTCAGTATATTAGATATTTGCACCAACTAATATAGATAAAATAACTGCGATGTAGCCTGATTGCATGTACATAATATATACAGTAGCTACTCTGAATCTGGGGGGAAAGATCTGAAACAAATGTACACTTTCCTAGATAAATGTTATAGAACAAAAAATCAGAATAGGATTCAAATAGCATTTGCCCAATCTGTTTAATCAGAGGGTGTTTGTTATGATATATTATCCCTGTGTGATAAGTATCTAATACCTGATATAGACGGCAACATTGGTGACACATAAAGCAGTTCATGAAACTACATTTACTTGGAAAATATGGAACTGTGCAGCAACAAAGTGATGATCTCACATCACTAATAAATAGGTTTTGTTTTATGCAAAAGAGTATGACAGCAAGTTAAAATTAATTGTACTTATAAGCCATAACAATGATAAAGACGTATGTGAAAACATATACTGATAATTGATCATATCGTATTTTATAATTTGATATTGTAGAAAAAAAAAAAAAGATGAATTAAAATAAATAATGTTGAGAGCTGAAGAAATAACTGACTCCTGATCGTCACAGCTGTGGTGATATTGATAAAAGCACCAGTATTCTCTGCTGAAGTTGAGATGACATTTACGTCTTTGTTCTTAAGGCATTTTATTTGTTTCACCTGCTCAGGTTGTAAAGTTCAGGATTGCATATGTATAAGATTTGGCCTTCAAAGACTTATACAGTAGATATGTACCAAAGAACTTTGCAATAAATAGTAGCATCTGTCATGCTGTCATACTCTTTTTCAAAATGAGTCACCATAATTGAGAACAGCTCTCGTTCACAAGCACTCCGTGCACCATGATGCACGTGTGCTGTTGCAGAAATCACCTGAAGTCTAAAGCGCTGGGACAATTCTTAGTGATCTTTTAGCACCGATCTAAGACTACTGTGATCGCTAACGTGGTGGTAAAGTTATCGGAACTAAAGTGAATGTCATCCAGTCAAGTATACAGTAAAGTAACAGAATATAGTCTTTTGAAAATACTGTATTTTGAAAATACTGCACGTATGTTGTAATAACCTAGTTATACTCTTAACCTACTACGGGAATGATGGTTTGAATTACCCTATATCCATTTCTTAGATATAATTTGTTCCTGACTGAGAACTGCATCATCACAAAAACATAAGATTTGAAGTGCTAATTGTAAAGTGTAAGCTTTGTGTTCAAAGTTTGGGCAGACAAGGGTCTTCTTTGTCTGGGGATTCAATGTAATTGGCAGCCTCTTGAAGTTTCAAAAGCATTGCCATCTATAACAAAGAAGAGAGAGTCGAGAAATCAGCAACACTAAAAGATCTGTTTCAGTTTCAAGTATTTCACGAAGCGTTGATTCTCAGAAAAGATCACAAAGTGCTGTCTTACCAGTGGATCAGATTCCATGGAGCTGGGTGGAGTCTCCTTGTGAGGCCTCTCCTCGCATGGCTGACCAGGGCTGCTTGAGCCGATGCTGGGGGGAGGCAAGTGGAACAGCTTTGCCTGGTCCTGCTGGGCAAGAGGCCAAGGCAGGGTGCCCCGCACCCACTCCACTGGGTCCTCCCACACCGCCTTCTGTCCGTGGACCTGAAGTGGCACAACATACCAGAACGGTAAAGTTAGAGGACAATATTTCCTGTGAAAGGGGAAGCCACCGGCACTTCTTGAGGAAGAACCTCATGCTAGCTGGAGACCATGAGCTGGATGTTGTTGGCTGTAGTTTCTCACCTTGATGCCGTCCTTGGCCCCCTCTTGCAGGTAAGGAATGATAGAGTGGTTCCAAAGATCAATGAACCACGATCGAAACTCCTCCACCGTGACAGGACAGGACAGGAAAAAGCAGGGGCCTGAGGAGACACGGGAAGGGAAAGAAGAACACAGAGGACACACAATTTGACATCATTCACACAAATTAAGTCCTCAATATTCCCTACAAAATAAAAAAAACAGCCTTCTTCAGCCCTGAAGTCATGCCCTGTCCTCATTCGAGTGTGCCTCATACCAATGAGGAAGTCCGACGTGCTGTGCTTCTCCAGGAAGGCGTGCAGGTGATACCACAGTTTGGGCACCCAGTCTAACACCCTGATCAGGTCCTCGTTGGTCAAGTTTTTCTCATCCTCCGACTCCATCAGCTTCCTGTGCAAGTAGCGCACCAGGAAGCCGTTGGCTGGCTCCACATTGTTGGAGAACGTCACCATCCTAAGATGATGAAAGGCGCATGCAAAAAGTCATATCGAAATACATCAGTGGGCTATTTCTTCATCTACATCTACATAAGATTTGTCATTATCCCTTTTGTCAATATCAACATTAGATCCAATTCAACCACCAAAATCAGAAATAATAATTCACAAGGTTTTATTTTGGTCTTTTTCCATCTCATCAATGTGACAGCATCCCTAAACCAACCTGTCATAATCAGTTTGATATGACAAAATGTTGTTACTTTAAATGGTCCAATCATATATTTGTGTTTTTGTTTTTTAAAGGGTAAAATAGAGGATTGTCTTTTCACTATTTTCAGCAGAAGGCAAAGATGTTGGTTGACTAATCTCAAGTGCAGATAATAGTGCGATGTTTGTATTTGTTGTCAAACTTCAGACTAAAAGCAGCTAAAGATATGTTGTATAAAATATATATTTTTTCAGGTATTAGTTTTTCTTTATTACTCACTGAGTCTCAATAAAAACAAAGTAAACTCTGTCTACCATTACTGGTACTCACAGTGCTGAGTGAAATCGAACATTATTAAATCATGCTGTATATCAGATCACACATAAACACATTAACTTACAGTTTACGATTGACCTGCTTTAATATGTCTTTTTATTGTATTGACTTGTTTACTCCACAGAGAACTTCAAATCTAACTTTATTGTAATCAGGACACATCCAGCCAGAACAATCAAGACAATCCTGCAGAAGAAGAAGATACTTCCACGACCATTCCTTTAACCAACCTGAAGCTGAGATGGAGGCCGTGGTTCGCAATCATCTTCACTGGCTGATTGCTTGTTCCAATAATGTAAGGACTGAGTAACAAGAACAATATTACAGTTAAGGTCACATTAAATATTACATAAATACTCTTGTAGCTAGTTTCAGTCTGTGTAGGTGGAGCTTACCATTTGTGGTATTTGCAGGTGAGAGCACCATTGACCAGTTCGCTGATGGACGCAGGCCCATGAACATCATCCAGAATAACGACTAGCGGTGTTTCTGATGTGCTGGTTTCCCGATCGATTTCATTGGCCAGGTTGGAAAGATGAAGCTGCAGATCCTGAGGACAAAAAGGTGAAAGAGAGACAGTAATGACAGGAAGCATGACAAACATGACACATGTCGTAACCCACTGTTGTACAGAATCATACGCTTCGTCACTCTCTGTCACCTTGCATGACTGGCGGTGCATGTTGAAAGTGACCACGATGCCGTCGGTGACTTCGCGGGCGCTGCGGTCCACCAGGTACTCAGCCAGCCGGGAAGCGAGGTAGCTCTTACCCGTCCCGCTCGGTCCGGACAGGATGAGACGGCGGTGTTTGAGCAGCAGACTGATGTAGTGTTGCATCATGGGTTTGGGAATGAGGGTTTCAAATACCAGGCTGTCCACACACTTCTCCTTCAGGCCTGAATATAGTGATGAAAAGTGAGAACGGACTGTGTTGATTGGTGATAAACTTAAGTGTGATACTTGATATTTGACTTGTAAATGGTCAATGCGTCCCGACCGACGGCGCCGTCGCAGAGATGTAGCGCCCACCCTTCGGCTCGCCCTCAGGTAAGCACTGTTGGCGTTATTCGCACTGTTAGCACCGTTAGCTTCTAGTCGCCAACTCATCTGTCTCCATGTTGAGAGCCGTGTGGAGGCAATAGGTTTGCTCTGAATTTCGTATTGAGCACTTTTTAAAAATTCGGCTAATATCTAAACCAAAAATAATCTACATTAGAAACAGGAGGAGCTTGGGTAAGATGTTGTGCAAACAGCTTTAAATCAAACTTGCATGTCCTTTAGAAACAACATGGAGTTCAAGCATTATGCGCTGAAAATAACTTTGCATCAAGTGTAAGGAGTCTGTGCACCCCCCACCAGCCTGCAGGAGTCTAACGCTCCTCCTTAGCATCTAAGGGGCCCATGTGTCTGAGGCTGGTCGACCAGCGACCTGAGACCTGTCTGGGCTGCTGCTGCTGCTCTGCTTCACTCACTGCATTCCAGCATGCAAAAGGTCTATCAAGGACTAGCAGACTATTAAACCAAGAACCTCACTGATCCCAGCTCTGGTTTAGAATCACTGATGGGCTCCGCGTATGTGCAACTCCCAAACAAAAACAGTGCTGTCATGAAAGTATAATGTTTACAAGTCACACAAACCTGTACTAGTGATGACAATGTTCAGCTTGTATGAATAATTTGATGAAATAAAAGATATTTGGCTATTTCCAAAGAACCAAAACATAATGTTGTTGAACTGATGAGTTCATCAGCAGCAGGCTGGGGTCATTTGAGTTTATGTTTTGGTCAATGATGAGGACAGCTCACGGTTAAATGTAACTGAAGACACATTGGACGTAAAGAAGAGTTGTAATCAAATTAAGCAACACTGATCCAAACAGCAATTAAGACAAACGGGTCCAAATTTAGTCCGATAAACAGACAGGCATGAGGATTTGCACCCAGCTGAGACTTGGATTAGGCAGTTAAACTCTTCCGATAAACACTTCCCAACAGCTAATGATCTGATTGACACAAGAAACTTGATTACATATCCCTCAATATATCGTATGCGTGTGGACCCAGCTTTCAATTGAAAGATTTGTGGTTTGCCAATTGAAAAGATGGATATTTTTCAACACACACACACACACACATTTGACTTTTGTATATATATTCATTTTTTTGTATTATGTAAGCGTGTTTCTTTTTTTTTTTTTTTTCTTTTATCGTGTGTGTCTTGCTCTGTGTTGTTGTTATTTGCTACTGCGACAGAACCGACTGTCCATCAGGTACAAATAATCTATCTCCAATCTTAAGCCTAATATGACTGACACTTTTCTCCACAGACCTTTCAGGGCCACTGTGATGCTACTGGGGCCCCGGGACATGCAGCGAGAGGGCTGTGTCTCTGGAGATTCTCCTCCCAGCACTCTCTTGATGTGGCCCATACTGTAACTGTAGATGGAGTCTGTAGACAGGCCCAGACTAGAAGTGGGGTCCACCTTGGCTATGTACACCTGGAATTAAAAGAATACAAAAAGAGAATTGAATATATCCGTCTGAGTAGGATTTAGTGTGATTTGACAGTGCCCCTTGTGATGTTTCAGAGCCAATTAACACCTGGACAAAGAGGTGAGACCTGGACAATCTAAATTCAAATACCTCTTTCACTAAGTTTCTGCTTTTTCATAATTCAAGGAGTTCAACATGATTCCATACGGTGTTTCGGCATCTTAGAAGTAACAGTGTGCTAAATTGAATGTGACAGCTGAAATGTGCTCGATGCAAACTGTACATTCAGATCTTGGACACGTCGCAGTGGTCAGAGTTGTCAGAAGAAGGGGACTCACCTTGAAAGCCTGGCTGACTGCTGAGTCCAGCATGGGCCAGTCCATCCTGCCATTCACCCTGACAGTGCCGACGAAGAAATCCTGCTGTTTGACCTCCTGTGAATGCAAAGTGCAGCAAAACCGGTGATACAGAGATTTCAAATCATGTTTATTTTGGTCTGAAGGAGGAAAGATGACAAATTTCAAACGTGCTTACATCTTTGAAGACGTGCAAATCTGCGACACAAATCACCACCCGAACACGGTGTTCATCCCTCTGAGAGGAAAGACTGAGAGAATCTGCAAAGAAGACGTCTGCTGAGGAGTAAAGACAAAAACGGAAAAAGAAATGTGGTATCTGTGACACAAGTTGAATATAAAAAATATAATATTCCAAAGAATGTCAAACCTAGGACATTGTTATAGTGGTAAATGCATATGCAAATTAGAAAACTGTGAGGTCTAACACAGTGATTCTTAACCATGGGGCCGCGGTCCACGATGGGGCCGCGAACGCCACCTAGAGGGCCGCAAAAAACTTTCAGTTTTGCACCTGTGGGCCGCGAGGGCCGCGGGACCGCATAGGTTATCAATTGAAGACACCAGAGATATTACTGTTCTCCATGAGACGCTCAGTTACAATATAGCTTCCCACCACCTGGTGGCGGTAATGCGTCAGTCAGTTGTTTAACAAGCTACAATAAGCAGAAGAAGACACTCAGCTAGCCGCTAGACCAGGCATGGGCAAACTACGGCCGTTGGGCTTTTTAATCCACCCGTCAAATATTGGTACAAAATTGTCCAAACTACAATAAAGACTAGGGCTGGGAAGTATACCCAGCCCTAGTTTTAATTTCCCGTATGATATGAATTCTTCACACACCATTATACCGGTGCGTAGCCAAAACAACTGCTGTCTGCTTTCAACAGGCAGCTAAACTAGGAACCCTAGTCATGGTCATAACTTTATAACACAATTAACAACCCACAACTAATGCTCTTTAACAGAGAAAAACAAAACAGCACACAACAGTCTGTGACACATAAACAATTTGTAACACTAATAATTGTACATTTATAAAATTTCACCGCCGAACTGCATGCTGGGTACAGCACGCAGTTCGCGATCATAAACATTACATGATTTATCCACTAGAGGGCAGCAGTGTTAAATCATTTAATGAGTAATAAACATTACACGATTTAACCACTAGAGGGCAGCAG